TGTAAAGGGGAAAATAATTTTGTATAGATCATCTGTCAGTTGCTAGTGTTGTTTATATATAGATGGTAGTGATGGTTGTAGTAGTTATAGAGATGAAGCAGCGCTTGTTAAATAAAGTCTTCCCTGACAGAGCAGTTTTTTCAGTTCTCCTCCACCCTCTAGCGTAGGTGCTCCTGGCTGGCTCTGGCTCTCTCTCTCTCTCTCTCTCTCTCTCTCTCTCTCTCTCTCTCTCTCTCTCTCTCTCTCTCTCTCTCTCAACAAATGTGTATGCACCAATACCTTGCTGCAGTCATATCACTGTATACTTGTGGTTATATTAATATAGACATGTGTTGATAAGATGGTTTTATCTGGAGTTTATCTGGAGAGAGTTCCGGGGGTCAACGCCCCCGCGGCCCGGTCTGTGACCAGGCCTCCTTAGGTCAGTGTCCCAGGATGCGACCCACACCAGTCGACTAACACCCAGGTACCCATTTTACTGATGGGGAACATAGACAACAGGTGGAAAGAAACACGTCCAATGTTTCTACTCTGGCTGGGAATCGAACCCAGGCCCTCACCGTGTGAAGCGAGAGCGTTAACCACCAGACCACTCAGTAGAGATAACTCTTATATAAATGTTGTACCAAGCCAGTGAAGGAAACACCTCGACTGTCACACGTAATTTTATCATTAAAGTCACTCTATGGATATTTTATACTTTAAGCTCAAAATATATTAAATACTTTGTAATAACAGAGATTTTGATATGGATACAAAGCAAATCTGAAATAAATTGGATTATACTCAACCAGAAATTGGAATAATCTCAACCAGAAATAGATGTAATGGAACGGTGAGCCCCTCTTTGGACCAGAAATTCCAAGGAGGAGGTCATCTTATGGCATACACCCGCCTCAATGTCACCTGTATTATTAATCTTGAAGTAGCATCACCACCATCCTACCACCACCACCGCTTCCACCATCCTACCACTAGCCCATCATCATCACCACTACCACCATCATCACCACTGCCACCACCATCACCACCACTAGCCCATCGCCACCACCACCACTAGCCCATCGCCACCACCACCACTAGCCCATCGCCACCACCACCACTAGCCCATCGCCACCACCACCACCACTAGCCCATCACCACCACCACCACCACTACTACCACCATCACCACTTGGACGCGAGAAATAGTTTGGCTTTCCATCACAGAGAAGCTGTGATGTTGTACCTATCTGTTTACTCATTGTTCCATCAGATAAAACTAACGGAGATAAACCAGGAGAACTACTCTCCTTGAAGTAGTCAGTTAATGTAGAGTCTTATGATGACTTTGTGAAGGTACCAGCTGTCAGACTTCACTGACTGTGAAGATACTGGCTGCCAGACTCCAGTACTGACTGTGAAGATACTAGCTGTCAGACTCCAGTACTGACTGTGAAGATACTAGCTGCCAGACTCCAGTACTGACTGTGAAGATACTAGCTGTCAGACTCCAGTACTGACTGTGAAGATACTAGCTGCCAGACTCCAGTACTGACTGTGAAGATACTAGCTGCCAGACTCCAGTACTGACTGTGAAGATACTAGCTGTCAGACTCCAGTACTGACTGTGAAGATACTAGCTGCCAGACTCCAGTACTGACTGTGAAGATACTAGCTGCCAGACTCCAGTACTGACTGTGAAGATACTAGCTGCCAGACTCCAGTACTGACTGTGAAGATACTAGCTGCCAGACTCCAGTACTGACTGTGAAGATACTAGCTGCCAGACTCCAGTACTGACTGTGAAGATACTAGCTGCCAGACTCCAGTACTGACTGTGAAGATACTAGCTGCCAGACTCCAGTACTGACTGTGAAGATACTAGCTGTCAGACTCCAGTACTGTGAAGATACTAGCTGTCAGACTCCAGTAGTCGCCAGTGTTAACAGAAGAAACATGCAAAAAGAAGCATACACAAAATACATCATTGATGTAGGAAGACAGATTTGTAGACTCCCAGATAAGACCTGTTGTTGGCTTGTCCAGCTGTCTGCAGCTAAAGTCGCTATCAGTCCACGAGAAGTGAGTTCACACCAGATTAAAAGCAACTCTAACTGAAAAAGAAATCACACTAATTACGTTCACTGTAATTTCGAGTTTGAGTAAGAAGGTGAAGAAGCAGTTGAGTCAGTCTACTGAAGTTGACGGCTGCGTATGTTGCAAACTTCATGTATTTAACTTTAAAATTACACAAAAGATTGTAAACCAAGGTTGCAAAGATGGTTTTACCCTTCAGTCCCTTCCCTGCAGCCCCTTCACTGCAGCCCCTTCCCTGCAGCCCCTTCCCTGCAGCCCCTTCCCTGCAGCCCCTTCCCTGCAGCCCCTTCCCTGCAGCCCCTTCCCTGCAGCAGGTAAACAATCACCGTGAATCGGCCTCCAGTAGGGAAACAACTACCATTGATCACCCTCCAGCAGGTGAACAACCACCATTGATCACCCTCCAGCAGGTGAACAACTACCATTGATCACCCTCCAGCAGGTGAGCAACTACCATTGATCACCCCAGCAGGTGAACAACTACCATTGATCACCCTCCAGCAGGTGAACAACTACCATTGATCACCCTCCAGCAGGTGAGCAACTACCATTGATCACCCTCCAGCAGGTGAACAACTACCATTGATCACCCTCCAGCAGGTGAACAACTACCATTGATCACCCTCCAGCAGGTGAGCAACTACCATTGATCACCCTCCAGCAGGTGAACAACCACCATTGATCACCCTCCAGCAGGTGAACAAACTACCATTGATCACCCTCCAGCAGGTGAGCAACTACCATTGATCACCCTCCAGCAGGTGAACAACTACCATTGATCACCCTCCAGCAGGTGAGCAACTACCATTGATCACCCTCCAGCAGGTGAACAACTACCATTGATCACCCTCCAGCAGGTGAACAACTACCATTGATCACCCTCCAGCAGGTGAGCAACTACCATTGATCACCCTCAGCAGGTGAACAACTACCATTGATCACCCTCCAGCAGGTGAACAACTACCATTGATCACCCTCCAGCAGGTGAGCAACTACCATTGATCACCCTCCAGCAGGTGAACAACCACCATTGATCACCCAGCAGGTGAACAACTACCATTGATCACCCTCCAGGTAAACAACTACCATTGATCACCCTCCAGCAGGTGAACAACTACCATTGATCACCCTCCAGCAGGTGAACAACCACCATTAATCACCCTCCAGCAGGTGAACAACTACCATTGATCACCCTCCAGCAGGTGAACAACTACCATTGATCACCCTCCAGCAGGTGAACAACCACCATTGATCACCCTCCAGCAGGTGAACAACTACCATTGATCACCCTCCAGCAGGTGAACAACCACCATTGATCACCCTCCAGCAGGTGAACAACCACCATTGATCACCCTCCAGCAGGTGAGCAACTACCATTGATCACCCTCCAGCAGGTGAACAACTACCATTGATCACACTCCAGCAGGTGAACAACCACCATTGATCACCCTCCAGCAGGTGGACAACTACCATTGATCACCCTCCAGCAGGTGAACAACTACCATTGATCACCCTCCAGCAGGTGAACAACCACCATTGATCACCCTCCAGCAGGTGAACAACCACCATTGATCACCCTCCAGCAGGTGAACAACTACCATTGATCACCCTCCAGCAGGTGAACAACCACCATTGATCACCCTCCAGCAGGTGAACAACTACCATTGATCACCCTCCAGCAGGTGAACAACTACCATTGATCACCCTCCAGCAGGTGAACAACCACCATTGATCACCCTCCAGCAGGTGAACAACCACCATTGATCACCCTCCAGCAGGTGAACAACCACCATTGATCACACTCAAGCAGGTGAACAACCACCATTGATCACCCTCCAGCAAGTGAACAACTACCATTGATCACCCTTCAGCAGGTGAACAACTACCATTGATCACACTCCAGCAGGTGAACAACCACCATTGATCACCCTCCAGCAGGTGAACAACCACCATTGATCACCCTCCAGCAGGTGAACAACTACCATTGATCACACTCCAGCAGGTGAACAACCACCATTGATCACCCTCCAGCAGGTGAACAACCACCATTGATCACCCTCCAGCAGGTGAGCAACTACCATTGATCACCCTCCAGCAGGTGAACAACTACCATTGATCACCCTCCAGCAGGTGAACTACCATTGATCACACTCCAGCAGGTGAACAACCACCATTGATCACCCTCCAGCAGGTGAACAACTACCATTGATCACCCTCCAGCAGGTGAACAACTACCATTGATCACCCTCCAGCAGGTGAACAACCACCATTGATCACCCTCCAGCAGGTGAAAAAACCACCATTGATCACCCTCCAGCAGGTGAACAACCACCATTGATCACCCTCAAGCAGGTGAGCAACTACCATTGATCACACTCCAGCAGGTGAACAACCACCATTGATCACACTCCAGCAGGTGAACAACCACCATTGATCACACTCCAGCAGGTGAACAACCACCATTGATCACACTCCAGCAGGTGAACAACCACCATTGATCACCCTCCAGCAGGTGAACAACCACCATTGATCACCCTCCAGCAGGTGAACAACTACCATTGATCACACTCCAGCAGGTGAACAACCACCATTGATCACCCTCCAGCAGGTGAACAACCACCATTGATCACCCTCCAGCAGGTGAGCAACTACCATTGATCACCCTCCAGCAGGTGAACAACTACCATTGATCACCCTCCAGCAGGTGAACTACCATTGATCACACTCCAGCAGGTGAACAACCACCATTGATCACCCTCCAGCAGGTGAACAACTACCATTGATCACCCTCCAGCAGGTGAACAACTACCATTGATCACCCTCCAGCAGGTGAACAACCACCATTGATCACCCTCCAGCAGGTGAACAACCACCATTGATCACCCTCCAGCAGGTGAACAACCACCATTGATCACCCTCAAGCAGGTGAGCAACTACCATTGATCACACTCCAGCAGGTGAACAACCACCATTGATCACACTCCAGCAGGTGAACAACCACCATTGATCACACTCCAGCAGGTGAACAACCACCATTGATCACACTCCAGCAGGTGAACAATCACTATCAGTCAAACTATAATTAGGATACAACAATTTTCCAATGCACTATCAACCAAATCGCCAGCCCCACCATCTCGTTCAACCACCGATCCCGTTTCTTGCTTTGCGGACGGAGGACCGAGCCTCCACCACCACCACTATCCTCTTACCACTATCCTCCCACCACCACCATCACTATACCCCTCCCCACACTAAACTCCACCCCCACACTAAACTCCACCCCCACACTAAACTCCACCCCCACACTAAACTCCACCCCACACTAAACTCCACCCCCACACTAAACTCCACCCCCACACTAAACTCCACCCTCACACTAAACTCCACCCTCACACAAACTCCACCCTGACCCCACACTAAGCACTACAGGTATCTTCTGGCTACCCCACTACCCCTATTTCCCCACCACCTCACACTATCCCACAACCCTGTTGCTTCTCCTGCAGTGCTGTAACGACGTCATACAGGAGAGGTTCTCGCCTGAGCTGAAGTACGACGTGGCGCTGCGTCTTGCAGCTCTGCACATCCAGCAACATGCCCTCACCAACAACATGTCAGCCAAAGTCTCCGTCAAGAACATAGAGTGAGTAATGAGACTTTTATATCTATTATTGTATCTGCACTTATTGTACAGTCACCTCTTATAAAACGCCTCTGTTTACTGCAATTGTATTGGAAATGCTATTAAAAAAAGTGCATTTCGTATCGCAGTACTGTGGATGTCTTTCTATGCTCCGTTGAATTGTAGATCTATTCTTTCAGTAGCATTTACGAAGAATTGTTGGCTGTACTTCTCTTCTGGTATCTGCACGCATAAGCATCTCTTAATGTATCTGCACTCTTAAAGATCTTGTTCACGATGTTTTACACTGAATTTAGGACAGGAAAAAATATTGACTCTTTTGTTGTTGTTGTTGTTTGTTGTTGTTTGCTGTTGTCTGTTGTTGTTTGTTGTTGTTGTTGTGTGGAAGGCACCCCAGCATACCTTTACCTTAGTAGAGTTCTAATTAAGTTATCCCAAGTATATGATATAAACCTTTGATGAGTTTCGAGGGTTGTTCTACTCCCAGAGAGCTGCCATGGGCCAGGTTCGTTCTCAGTTGTTGTGTGGAAGGAACACCAGCATGTTCTGAGTTGTTGTTGTAGGGAATCTACCCCAGCATGTTCTGAGAGAATGAAAAATGTTTGTAATAAGAAGAGAAGACAACGATGGTTGTGTCATGAATGGAAGGAGAGACGAGGGAGAAAATCTGTTGCTTTATTAGGCAAGAGAAAGTATCACTTGAGCTGTGTGAACCTCTGTGGGTCTCTGTGGCACTGTTTGGTGCCTCCTGCGTTGATGGTGCCGATGTGACGCTGCCACCACCACCACCACCACGATCATCACAGAAACCACCACCACCCTGTTTTTCTTCTTTCATTCCCTACCCATTCTACTGTGCTTTCCCTTCTTTTCCCCTCAAGGGAGGTTCCTAGATGCTGGTGAGGGGCTCTTGATCTAGGGAATTGGATCTGTGCTCCGGTTCCCTGAATTGAGTCTGAATACCTTCCATCCCCCCGACATGCGCTGTATAATCCTACGGGTTTAGCGCTCTCCCATGATTATAATATTTCTCTCTCTCTCTCTCTCTCTCTCTCTCTCTCTCTCTCTCTCTCTCTCTCTCTCTCTCTCTCTCTTCTCTCTCTCTCTCTCTCTCTCCCTCCCTCCCTCCCTCCCTCCCTCCCTCCCCCCCTCCCCTTCCTCAATCACTTCTTCCTTTCCCTCATGTTTTTCCTTAAATTTTCTGATCCCCTTTTCTCAACATCCCACAATCCTCTTCCTTTCTACTCTTCTTTTTTTCCCCTTCTCCTCCTCATCCCCTCCCTGGCCCCCAGTCAGTGTGTGTCAGGTTGTACAACACAGAAGCCGACTTTTCCACTAGACTCTCCGCAGCCTCTGGTAAACGCAGCTACTGAAGGTAACCCACCACGTTACTGCAGAGAATAAAGCTGCCTTGATAAAGAGTTTTTTTTTTTTTTTTTTTTTGGGGGGGGGGGGGAAGGGGCAACACATTCATAGGACCTGGTGGCTAAGCTTGTTTGAGTCTACGTTATGTATATCCTCTTACGATATCCTCCATACAATCCCTATGATGTCCACAATAACCTAGCCGCTTCGGTGGCAAAATCTTTTTATGGGGCCTAGTATCTAAGAATATTTGAGTATCCCAATACTCTTGCACTACCCTCTCTACGGGGTGGATGTGGGGTGCATATCATTAGTGTCATTAGATAATAATAACAATAATAATCTTCATTTCTACAAGTACATGATACAACTTGTACAGACCCAGCTGACATCGATGACATACTAGTATATAGAAAGCCCCTTGTTATGCAGAGCATTTCGGGCAAATTAGGTTAATTTTGTCCTCAGGATGCGAACCACGCTTGTCGGCTAATACCCAGGTACCTATTTACTGCTAGGTGAACATGGACAGCAAGTTTTTCCACCTGTACCGGGGATCAAACCACGAACCTCAATGTGTGTGAGCTGAGTGTTCTACCAACCGAGCTACGGGACATTGATTTAGTGATACTTGTCTGATACAGAAACACTGCTGAATCTTGGTACAGGGAAATCTCTCGTCTTAGTGGGACCACGTCCTCTTGTACACACAAGAACACAAGAAAGAAGGAACACTGAAACTGGCCTATGCGAGGCAGCTCCAATTCTCCCACCGGCTTAAGCCAATGCCTTGACCTACTGAGGTCAGACACGTCACTTAAGGGAGGAGCAGTACATCCGATGTCTTCATCTGCTACACCTCTCCGTTTCTTCCACTGGTTCTAGTATAAAACTCGCTGACTTCGTGCCTTGGTAAAACCTTTTGAGCGGACGAAACGTCTCTCGGTAAAGATGCCCAGGTGTTGCACCTGTGTGTCAGTCATCAACTTGTCGATATTGTACCTGTGGGCTGCTGCTGCTGCTGCTGCTGCTGCTGCTGCTGCTGCTGCTGCTGCTGCTGCTGCTGCTGCTGCTGCTGCTGCTGCTGCTGCTGCTGCTGCTGCTGCTGCTGCTGCTGCTGCTGCTGGCTGCTGCTGCTGCTGCTGCTGCTGCTGCTGCTGCTGCTGCTGCTGCTGCTGCTGCTGCTGCTGCTGCTGCTGCTGCTGCTGCTGCTGCTGCTGCTGCTGCTGCGCTGCTGCTGCTGCTGCTGCTGCTGCTGCTGCTGCTGCTGCTGCTGCTGCTGCTGCTGCTGCTGCTGCTGCTGCTGCTGCTGCTGCTGCTGCTGCTGCTGCTGCTGCTGCTGCTGCTGCTGCTGCTGCTGCTGCTGCTGCTGCTGCGCTGCCGCTGCCGCTGCCGCCGCCGCCGCCGCCGCCGCCGCCGCCGCCACTGGTGCTGCTGCTGCTATTACTTAGAGTACAGTTACTAATAATAGTAGTAGTTAAGATTATTACTACGAGTATTACTACTATGGGAGTACGTACCAGTGTGCGAGATGACTTCAGCTGGTCAGAGGTTTACACTCATGCGGGTTTATCGCTTTATATGTAGGCACCCAAAGGGGTGCCTCTCTTCCCACATGGGTGCCTCTTCCCACATGGGTGCCTCTTCCCACATGGGTGCCTCTTCCCACATGGGTGCTTCTCTCCCCACACATTGCCACTCTCCCACATAATGGCACTCCTCCCCATAGAGTGCTTGCTTAACTAAGAATCCACCATTTCTTTTGGCGTTCTTGGCAGGGATGTTTCCCCTTTCGTCTAAATTTTGCCGACACGGAAGGAATTGCGGATATGGATTGCTGAATGTGAGAGGGTGTTGGTGGAAAGCTATACTTGCAGTCTTCAAGACCCTAGTGTAGTCGATAGGCTTTCAGTCTCATTCAGCAACCTTTCACCTGATTGCCATATACACCTAGCAGTATGTAGGTACTAAGAATTAGGCGCCTGTTGTGTTTTGCATCCAGTGTAAGGACCTCAGGACTTCAACGTTGGTAAGTCATACTTCTTGACTCTCCTGAGTAATTAACTCTCTGGGATTAATTGTTTTTCTCCCTACAACTACTCCGCCTCTTTCTCCTTGCTTATTCCTCCTCCTTCCCTTCTCTTTCTCCGGTTTCTACTGTTCCTGCTCCTCCTCCTCTTCTTCCTCCTCCTCCTCTTGCTCCTCCTCCTCCTCCTCCTCCTCCTCCTCTTCTTCCTCCTCCTCCTCTTGCTTCTCCTCCTCCTCCTCTCCCTCCCCTTCCTCCTCCTCCCATTTCCTCCTGCCCCGGTGGTGGTAGGCAGGAGAGAGCATCAAAATGGGTGCCTCACCCCAGGCAGACATCAACAATCAACAGAGGGAGCCTTGTGTTGCCTCTGTTGCCACTTATCTTGCCTAACATGCACAAAAACATTGCCCACTTACTAAACCCTTGAAGGGATGCCTCTTGATTTGTTTACCTTGCTGTAGATGCGTTCACTGTATGTGTGTGTGTGTTCGCTTATTTGTGGTTGCAGGGGTCGAGTGTTTTTTTTTTTTTTTTTGGGGGGGGAAGGGGCACACATTTTAGGTTCTCACCTGTGTAGTACATTTTATTGATTTGACTCAACCCAATAAAATCAAACATAGGGACTTATTTCCATCAGGTGTTTTAATGTTTAATTTAAATTTCAGGAGAGATTGTGGCTTAGAGCGATTCGTGCCCTCATCTTTAGTAGACTCAATGAAACGTAAGGAGCTCAGGAAACTGCTGTCCCATTTCCTGAAGATCAACAGTAATTTAACGACTCAAGGACAAAAGCAATTAACAGCATTACAAGCCAAGCTCCATTACCTCAAGATTATCTCTGAGCTCCCTTCGTACGGTGCCAAGTGCTTCTCCACCAACCTCAAGGTAAGAATACAAGGCATGGTCAACCCACTCTGCTTAATAACCTATTATTAAATCATATCGTTCGTAATAATATATTATTCATTGGGTGAGAACGCTAAACCTCTACGGGTTATACAGCACCTAGGGGAAATGGGAGGCATTCAGGTTCAATCACTGGATTATTATTATTATAATCAGAACTAAGCGCTAAACCCACGAGGGTTATACAGCGCTGCTTGATCACTGGAAGGTAAGGATAGGTCCAGTTTCACGGATCAAGACCTCATCGGCTTCAAGGAACCATCTTTAAGAGAGTGTCGTATGTAGATCAATTATGGAAAATTTAGTTTAGTTACTCATGAAAATTGAAAATGTTTTCTATGTCCGCAATTGTAGAAAACGTTATTTTTTTGTATGAGTAACTATGATATTAAGTTCATAAATTATTTTTTTTTCTTAGAATGGTCTTGAGGGCACATAGATGTTATGGGCACAAATATATATAGCACATAATGTACATTTAATAAAGGAAAATCCAATAAGCTGAATAATGTGACTTATTGTTATTGAGGTTCCATTGTATTACTGATTGAAGAAGCTCATAATATTCACTGCATTGTTTATAGCTGTAGTTATTAACTTAACTCTGATCCATATATAATACAGAACTTTTGTTTTGAAGGGGAACAGAATTTATATTTATTACTGTTCTCTGATGAATATATTTTGAATTTTAATTTAAGTTTAGCAGTTTTTATTATATTTTATCGCATATAATGCACAGTTATTATATAGGTAATAAAAAATTCTCATCAGCACTGTATGACCCCGGTGGGTTTAGCACTTAGTTTTGATTAATAATAATAATAATAATAATGAAATTCTCATATAAGAATGTGTCCCTAAACACAACAGAAATAATAAAGACCAATAAGGAAAAAATCGTGCATGGGTTTGTTGGATTATTCTGGGTTAAACCATCATTACATAAATAACAAAAAGGCACAATACCGTGACTGGAACGATACACAAATAACCCGCACATAAAAGACAGAAGCTTACGACGACGTTTCGGTCCGACTTGGACCATTGACAGTCACACTAACAGAGGAGGAGCAGGACGGCTATATATAGGCAGGAAGAGGTGGAGGTAGTAGTAGTGGCAGTAGTAGTAGTACAAGAATTGTATATAATACCGACAGGATGAAATGACACATGCACAACACCCGGGCATCCCCACCGTAGACGTTTCGCCATCCAGCCAGCCACTGGATGGCGAAACGTCCACAACAAAGACAACCAGACGCCGCACATGTGTCTAATTTCATCAGTAGATGTAGTAGAAGAAGAAGAGGTAGTAGTAGTGGTAGTGGTACTACTACTGCTACTTACTGCTAGGTGAACAGGGGCAGCAAGTGTAAGGAAACATGCCAGTATTTTTACTGATGCTGGGGATTGAACCCCAGCCCCTCAGTATGTGAGCTAAGGTGGCTACCAACCCAGCCATGCAACACCATGATACATAGTATTACACTGCATACTTGTTTATCATATGTTGGAAAGCCGATAGTTATTGGTGCTTTTGGCAGACTTAAGAGTAAACATACCTTAAAATGTTGTAGATTACATAAATGCATTAATTAATTATAGTTACATTAAAGTTCGGCAGTGCAGCCTGTGGTGGCCATTTTGAGAAGAATGTGAAATTTAAATATCAGAAAATGCCTCAGACTGATCCGAAAAGCCAAAGTATGCGATATATACAGGTTTTGTAGCTCATCTTTAGACTGTTTTTCTTGTAAAGTAAAAGGACACAAGTGCAACTAATGTGACATTTATTGTGGCAACGTTTTGCTCTCCAGGAGCTTGATAAAGCTCCTGGAGAGCGAAACGTTGCCACAATAAATGTCACATTAGTTGCACTTGTGTCCTTTTACTTTACATATAGTCGGTAATTCTACCAACTTTATTACACTGTTTTTCTTGTTCGACTGTGTTTCTAGCTGCATACACCAATACAGACACACCTTGTTAACCCTTTTGGGGTGAGTCCCATTGTACTGTGGCTTTGAATTCTGGGTCAGTCCTTTTGTTTTACATAATGAGCTCAGCTCACTCAGATAAGTGGTGAACAGTAATTTGGGCCTTGATACTGAGAAAATAGGCCTGTGTGGTAAGTATGCAGTATCATATAAAAAAAATCCTGCAGCATGCACTACATGATGAGGAAAACAAAAAATTGTGACTGTGTTTTTGGTTTAAAACAGCAATTATGTGGTGTATTTTCGAATGGTTGTTATGTTTGTATTCACGGTTTCCTGGTCTCATTTGATAGAATGGAAGATATGCTACAGAAATAGAGACGATTTTGATTAGTTTCAAGACTGCAAGAATAGTAGAACCCCCGTATCCACTGATTTGGTATCCACAGTTTGTTATCCATGGTTTACTGTGCCCCCCCAAAAATCTCTTAATTTTGCATAATAATGACTCCCAAAGTGCACAAGTAGAGAAGCTGGCAGTTCTCCAAGGCCTGAGAAGCCATGAAGTTCTTCTCATCAGTGAAACAGTGATAATTCTCCACTTGCTGTGCATAATTTATCAGACTTTATAATAGGCATGTATAGGACTTGTGTACAGTGGACCCCCGGTTTACGATATTATTTCATTCCAGAAGTATGTTCAGGTGCCAGTACTGACCGAATTTGTTCCCATAAGGAATATTGTGAATTAGATTAGTCCATTTCAGACCCCCAAACATACACATACAAACGCACTTACATAAATACACTTACATAATTGGTCGCATTGGGAGCTGATCGTAAACCGGGGGTCCACTGTATATAAGGTTTGCTACTATCCTTGGTTTTGGTATTCACAGCAGGTCCTTGGAACATATCCCTGCAGATACAGGGGTCCTACTGTAGCTTGAAATTGAGCTCAAAGTAGCAGAAATGTTCAATTTTTACTGATATTCCTGAGTACACAAATTACGTCACTCGTCCAATATGTGTCCACCTGGTCAGTAATGTGTGTTCACAAATGCACTGATATTATTTATACAATTATTACAATAATGCAGTAGTTTGTATAACAGTAAATCTTCTATTTTTTGTGTGAGTAAAAATTTAAAATGGAAAGCAAGTGTAGTATAGGAGAGGCCTGGGGATGTAACTAATAATGGAGGAAATGTTTTTTTTAGTGTCAGAAATGTCTGTGTTGTTTATTCTGAATCCTATTTTTAAACTGGCGTTTTTTTTATTTTGTGTGAAATCGGCCAAATTACCAATTTCTGATATTTTTATTGGGTAGTTGAAATAGGTAAATGGGCATTCAGGGGTTCCGAGCCTGAATGGCTTAATACGGCACTTGCTTTAGAGTGCTTTGCTAATACCTAATACGGCGTTCTTTTAATTATATTCATGTTTATTATTTTTGGCATTGTTTTCGGCAATGTTCAAAAATTTATTTATTTTTTACTTTTGCACTGTTGTAGGCCTAGTGCTATCACATGTTTAATAAATGATAGTGTAAACATGTTTTTAGGCTTTTACTTGCACTGGCAAATGAAAAAAAAAAGGCTGTGATCCATTTAAAGGAAATATTCCCTTTACGGTGGTGGTCTGGAACCTGTCCCATCGTATTAGTGACGTATGCCTGTATTTTCCCTTGTTATTGTAGAGTTGAACCAACAGCAAGATAAGTTGAGATTAGATTTTCGATTTTGCCACCGAAGTGGCTAGTTTATTGTGCACCCCATATCCATCCTGTGGACGGTAGCGCGAGAGCATATGGATACACAAAAGGCCTAGGAACTAGGCCCCAAAGGGTTAACAGGAATACATATGGATTTATATCTACATATCTATAGTTCACTTATCTGTTACAAGCAAATTTAGGAAATTTGCTTAGTATATCTGGTATCTTATTTTCATTAATAAGATATCTTGACATGTCACATAGGTTATTATACTGTCTGTCTCTGTATTCCTCAATAAGTGGACAATTAAGCACATAAGTGTTCAAGAGAGTGACCATATGCCTGATCACATAATTTACATTTAGTTTGATCATCATCTGTATGTCTCCCAAACTGCCAGAAGTACTTGTAACCAAGCCTAAGCCTGGCCACTACAACATCAGTCAGTCTGTTCACATTGCAAGTTGCTCCATAAACATACTTATCTACGTTCATGTTATCATAGTGGGTTATAGATCTACTCAGGCTTCTAACTGCATTCCTATAACAGTCATTTTCATTATTTACTTCTCTCCTAATATTATTCCTAATGCTAGACACAGTTATACCAAAGTTATATTCTACATTCTCCTTCTGGGTACTCTTTTTGGCTAACATATCAACTTCATCATGAAGGAGTAATCCAATGTGTGATGGGATCCATAGCAATTGTACATTAATTCCTTTGTCCCTAATTTTTGAGTATCTATACCTGGCTTCCCCAATGAGCATGTTGTTGGAGTCATTATATGAGTCAAGAGCCTTCAATGATGACATAGAATCAGTAATGATGATAGAGTCAAGCTCAGTGTCATAGGTTAGCTTTAGCGCCATTAGGATTGCAAACAATTCAGTTTGCAGTGTAGACGCCCAGTTGTTAATTCTTATGCCTAACTCAACAAATTTATTATCGTTCTTAACTTGGGAGGTGGCAACAAGAGCAGATGCAGCCCTGCCAGAAGACTCCTGTTTAGATCCATCAGTGTATATAACTTGTGATAACTTATTACTACCAGCTAGGTGAGAAATTTCTTCTTGAGCAGTTGCTCTAACAAGAGATTTAAGGAAGGGATTACTAGCAATAAGCTTCTTGGGAGGGACTTGTATGTATGTGATATTAAATGAACACATCTTCCATGGAGGGGTGAAATGCTCTTGTTGCCTACAGTGATACAGTTCATGTAGGTTATAAAACTTAATGCAATTGCACGTTTTCACAATCCATTTAGATCTGTGTGTATTTACCTCTAGACACTTGGTAAGATTCACTGTGACAGTGTCT